CCTCAATGCTCTTGGGGCTAAGCTCCAGCAAGTGTGTCAGGAACTTGGTCGCATCCTTGAGCGGGTCTTGCGTCTGGGCAAGCTGGTTGCCTAGCGGGTCAGAGTCTTCCTTCTTCACTTCTCCGTCAACGCTCTTTGTGCTTGCCGCCTTTCTGGCCTCACGCTTCTCCGCCTCAATCTTCTCCAGGCGCTGCTGCTCCTTCTTGGCCTTCTTAACCGCCTTCTTACGTTCCTCGTCGTTGTCAGCAACGACGCTGGGCAGAGGTCCGTGAGCCAGGTCGGGCTGATCGTGAAGGAGGAGGTAAGTCTTGATGGCAGAGACGGCCATCCGGGTGTAGAAGGGGTGCTCGCGCAAGCGGTCTTCCCAGCGAACCATGTCAACGTAGGCACGGATCATGCCCTTGCGAAGGGAGAAGCTGTGGAAATCGAACTGATCTTCTTGCCAGGTGTCGAAGATGTTGTAGACAGCATGGAATCGCTTCAGAGCGAGGCCGAGCTTCTTCTGACGCAGGTACGCCTCACCATCCTCGGTCAGGTACCAGACACATTGCATCTCATGGAGATCACCCATAGCCCCACCAACGGTTTCGTTACGAGTGAACTTGCTCATGTTGTCAAGAGCCTTGTCGTTCTCGTTGTTGCGGAGTTGATACTTAGCGGCCTTGGAGTTGATGTGACGGTCCTTTTCGTCCAACAGCCTGGCCTTCTCCATCTCCTCAGCCGCCTTCTCGAGGTTTCCATAATGCTTATATATCCGGGCCTTGGTCAATTGGTACTCCACGGCCTTGGGTGATAGTTCAAGGGCCTTGTCGACATTCTCCATGGCCTTGGACAGGTCGCGGCTGAGGTGGTAGTTGTAGTGCTGAGCGAGGAAGTAGTAGGAGGAAGAAAGGAACTCAGTGTTGTCGGCGCCGGACTGACCTTCCGCGGAGCCGTTCGACTGGGGCGTCGTCGCGACGTAGCCTTCAACAAGTTCCTGCACTGTATCACGCTTGGCGGGGTTGCTGTACAGTGACTTGATGTTGGCAAATAGAGAGGGAACGCCCTTCTTGAGCATGCGCTGCAAGTAGGCGTCGGCGGCCTGCTTGAAATCATCGCCCTCCAGGAACTCCAAGGGAATTCTGCGAGCAGCATCACCACGGGGGAACTTCTCGACCCACGAGTCATACACGGCCTTCTTGGCCTTGTGGTCATCACTAGGGATACCCTTCGCCCGGACCAAGGCATCGTAGTAGAGCGAGTTCTCCGGGTTCCGGTCCAGGAGCGCAATGTACGCTGCCTCCGCTTCAGCCTTTCTGTCCAGTCGCAGAAGGTAGTCCGCCTTCATCTCCATCACAGCAAGCACGTCCGAAATCCTGTGTCCCACCTTCTCCAGATGTTCCAACGCCTGTTCCACCTTACCAGCCTCGGCCATGATCACGTTCTTGTACAGAACGGCCTCCGAATGCTCCATATCCGAGGTCGGCGGAGGGATCTTTAGCGTCTCTTCGTAAGTATTCAAAACCTTTTCGGCCTCTTCCAGATCTCCGGAGAGGTGGTGTGCGATCGCGAGAGCCGTCCAGTTCTGTCGGAAACCCGGGCGAGCCTGCAGCATGGCTTTCCTGCTCTGAATGTAGCCTTGGTAATCGCGCATTTGCATTTGCAGCAGCGCAAGATCCCGCTGGATTGGCTGTGAGTCTGGCTCAATCCTCAATGCAAACCGGTATGCCTTGATTGCCTCTTCGTAGTTCTTGTCCGCCCGATACAGCAATCCGTACACATGCCAGCAGATGTGCGACTTCATGTCATTCTTCAGGGCTTCCTTGGCCAGCACAAAAGCCTCCTCCTGCTGGCCCATGTTGCTCATAATCAGAGCCTTCATCGCCAAGGTATCACCATGGTTGGGGTTCTTCTTCAGGATCTGTTCGGCGGTCTTGATGCCTGTTCGGAAGAGAGCACAGTTAGCTTTCCTGCCCACTTGCGGAGACCTCCAGCGTGTCCAATCGAGATCGCAAACGCACCCTTCTTGTGTTGCTTGTTCTCATAATGACGAACGACTTGGCGGAACAAGGATGCATCCTTGGAGTTCAATGGTTGCGGCATGGTGAGTGTGGTTGGCCGGTGGTGGTCTGTGAAGGACTTGCCAAGTGACTGTGCGAAGACGGAAGCTCGAAGTGCGCGGGGGAGGAATGACGATGGACGACGATTAGTCGATCAGGCAGCGATAAGCTATGACCAACACTCTGACAGCATGCACGTCCTAGGGGATATTAGAATTATCCTTGGCCCCTATCCAATCCTCTGGTTCACCCGTTCAAGCGGCTCAAATGGTATGGTTAAATGATCGCTTTTACTCGTAAAGTTCTTGCCGACCGCCGTCCTCGAGGGCTGCCCGGCACCAGACGAAATTATTATCCGAAGCGGCCCTGCAGATGCAACCTGGCGGCCCTGATACTTACCCTCCATATCACCCAATTGTCGACAAGTGACATTGCTAATGAGTATTCACAGCATGCCGTCTGCTCTGTTAATTGGTAACAAATGGTAGAGTACGCGATTCAAGCCAAGTTCATGTTTTGATTCACACATCCCGCCTGGGCTCCAACCAAGAACGCCTATAATATGCAGCTATCTTACAACATCATATACATAGCAAGTCCAGTCTCATCAAGTCAGGTAAGTAACCAGACAATAAGCAGCTGGAAATGAGACCCCCAATCATTGGAGGCCCTCAACCATAACCAATGCGGTGACTACTACTCGACCCGGAGATCATATCACTCTGTCAATGGTGGTGCCTGCTCTCGTTGTTTATTCTCACGCCATTTATTCAGCGCCTCTTCCCAGCCCTCCGACGGGCCACCACATCTTTCCGTTACCAAACCCCACGTGCGCGTGCGTATAATGTCTTCGACCCCCCGTTGAGTGCGGACAAGATTGGCCAACGACTCAGTCCGTGCCTCCCGAGGCAAAAACCGGGCCGCATATGGGTCTAGGCGATCATCGACAATATGCTCGCGATCCTCTGCAGATTCGGTCTGCTGGAGAATGAGGTCCGGGTCTTCCGGGTCGGGACTTGTGGCCACCCCGGCGCAATAGTTGAGCACATCCGAACGGACTTGCCATGATGGAAACAAGACCTTATCCTTGAAGCCCTGGCAAGCAGCTGGTTCGATTTGCTTCCCTTCACTGGCGTCTATTTGTCGAATAGCTGTGGAGGAGGGATCGAATCCTTGTCGAGATGGGGTGAACAAGGCATTGAGGTTTTGCGTAATGGAGTCATCTATGGTCGATCTAGAGATTCGTAGAAAATCTGTACAGCAGCCAGGATCAGTCCGCGCCCCGTTACTGTCTATGGACTTGACGGTGGCCGTAGCTGAGCATACCTCTGAGCAGCCTCTCATTGAAACAGAATTGGGGTGTCAGCTGAGGAGCTGAGGTTGATGATGCTCGAGACATATTCCGATCCTCCACCTTTCCAGAGTCACTTTCTGACCTGGAAGTATTCGTCCAGAACCACTCCACTTTGGCAGCTGTACAATATGGAACCGCGGCCAGCGGATCGTTTGGCTGCAAAGAAGTAGTTCAAATAACAACTGTGCTACTGAGGTAAAGGAAGACCGGGTAACTAGTCCGGGGCTATGGTAACTTCCAAAAGGGCCGTGGGCTAGCAATGCAGCAATGCAATGACTTCAACAAGCTAATGTTGAAGTTCTCACGAGGTTCGGCTGGCATGCCGTACTTCACACTTTCCTAGTATATTACCCGATTAGGTTAGCATTCTGTAATCACGGGACTACGTGATGGTCGACGCGCGCCACGACCTCCTGCTCCAGCCTCTGCTCGACTTACGTGACTTCATTGAATTGACTTTATACACACCTTTGAGCCTATTCTGGGAGGCGGTTCCAACCAAAGAGACCAAAGTTCACGCCCCAATATTCCGTTCCCGACAGAGACTGTCAACATTGAACATCATGCCCGAGCTAGCGGAAGTCTCACGTATAGTCCATTTCCTTCGTCAACATCTTGTCGGCAAAACGCTTTCCAAGGTGTCGGTGCAAAACGATGACATTATTTACGGCAAAGCGGGCACCACTGCTGCCGAGTTTCAAAAGGCAATGGAAGGGAAGAAAGTTACTGGTGCCGGACAGCAGGGCAAGTACTTCTGGATTGCTATGTCATCACCACCCCATGCAGTTATGCATTTTGGTATGGCGGGCTGGCTGAAGATCCGGGACGCCGACACATACTACTACCGGACAGACAAACCAGAAGATAAGGAGTGGCCGCCGAAGTACTGGAAATTCTTGCTCGAAACCGATGGCGATCCAAAGACAGAGGCTGCGTTTGTTGATTTTCGCCGACTGGCCAGGATACGTCTGGTAGACTGTCCCGCGGAGGAGATCCGTAAATACAGTCCTCTGAAAGAGAATGGCCCAGATCCTGTCGCCGATAAAGACATTGTATCGGAGGAGTGGCTGGCAAAGAAGCTGAGAAGCAAGAAGGTACCTGTAAAAGCCCTGCTCCTTGATCAGGCGAATATTAGCGGAATAGGCAACTGGATGGGGTATGTTTTTCAGGTTCCCCTTATGGCAATTTCATCCAGCTGACTGCTTTTATAGAGATGAAATCCTCTACCAAGCTAAGATACACCCTGAGCAATACAGCAACACTCTTGATGATGACCAGATCAAAGAGCTGCATTCAGCGATACATTATATCTGCTCCACCTCCGTAGAACTTCTGGCAGATTCGGAGAAATTCCCAGCTGACTGGCTGTTCAAACACCGGTGGAGTAAAGGCAAGAAGAATACGCCATCAGTGCTGCCAAACGGGGAAAAAATCACTTTCCTTACGGTAGGCGGCAGAACCAGCGCAGTGGTTCCAAGCGTGCAAAAGAAGACTGGACCAGTAGCCAAGGATGTCAGCAGTGAAGACGCCAGTAATGCGCCGGCAAAGTCAAAGCGAAAGCGGGCCTCAGTGAAAAAGGAGGAGAGCGAACCGGAAGCTAGCGAAGAGGATTTGAAGCCCAAGACAGGGCCCAAAAGGCAAAGCAGGGCTTCTGTCAAGAAGGAAGACATCGATGAGACAGAGACTAAGCCGGTAGAAGCACAACAAACTACCAGAAGGCGCTCTGGCCGACTTCGAAAGTAGGAATCCCGACCATTGTACCATTATACTCATATTAGCGACGTATCGGAAGATGCGACGTGACGGACGTTATTATACCGGTTTTTATATAATACTATGTACCACTTTTCCTGGTCTACCTGTTCATACCTTCAATCCATGCAGCCTTTCCCGGAAGACATCGAAATTGCTGTCACCCTGAGCAACTTTCGACATGTCATCTAAAACCGCAAATACAATCTTCTCCCACCATCCCTGAAATTCGATTTCTTTCAGGACTTCGAACCAACATTGAGCAACCTCGGCATTTGGGTTCGCAAATGCGCCACAACCCAGAGCTCCTAGGACTATTTTCCGATGCTTCTTATACCCTGCAATGCGGAGAATAGACCGCATCTTGTCTTTGGTCAGTTCTCGATCAGAACGAGACTTAAATGCCGCTGGATTTGCCGTATAGTCCACCTCTGGTCCTTCCAGGGCAGCAACGCTAATAACGCTCACAATAGGGAGATTTTCAGGCTTCTGCAGGTCCATCAGCCCATGACCCTGTGTGAAACTTTCACGGAAGATAACGACGGTCGGAGAATAGATGGCGTCTCGTTCTCCTATGGGATAATATCGGTATTTAAGGGTGGAGCTGAGGCTGCTTCGATAGCAAAGAGCCTCCTCCTGAGCCATAGCTCCATTACGCCAACCGCCGCCTGGATTCCTTTCGTTGGCCATATTCAAGACACACACGTTCCGCGTGTCACTTTGCCGGAATTGCCTGGAGGGGCTATTAATCCTGATGGCGATGTCGAACGTATCTCCAAATATGACTTCGACATGGGTTGATAGCTTTGGACTGAACCTTGGATTTAATGAAGGATATCTGATGCGTGGACAGTACTGTGCTGTTGGAGGTGCCCGAGGCACTGTACTTAGAATGCCGGGAAGAAGGGCTTGAGTCTCTTCCGCGGTCGCTCTTAGTATTGCTCTCCTATCAGCTCCCGACATAGGCCGTGGTCGCACATTGACCGGTCGGAAGTAGTCCGGTAATAACTTTTGGCTCATCTTTGTATTTGTGGTCTGCTGTGAAACTAGGTAAGCAGAATGTAAGGTTAATCTGGCTACATGTCTGTTAATGTAGTGTGTGGCATGACTTGACAGTAAGAGCAGACTTAGGCAGCAAGGCTGGAAGCACCAGGGTGCCTGGTGAGCGGCCAGCCAAGTGGAATTCCGAGGGGCAACACGAACAAGCGGCAGAACACGAGTGCCTGGCGGGCGGTGCCGAAAGGCGGTCAGCTTATCATCGCCGATCGCGGGGCTGCCGATAAGCATCCAGTAACATCAGAGTTCGTCGCCACTGCAGATGACAAAGCATTGGTCTTTCTTTCGATCCCTGTCACTGTCACATTTCTTCTACCTGCTCTCATATTCCATGCACACTGAAGTCTTGCACATTGCGTTCAACTTGACGACGAAGCTTCCATATTGCTAAATCAGCACGGTCCGAGTTGCAGCGCAGACTTCTGAGCCCGCTGCGGAGTGGCGCTGCTATACCTGCTCATCTAGCTAGGAGTCTTCAATTGCCGCCACAATGAGTGCAATTCTATCTGCAGACGACTTGAACGATTTCATTTCTCCCGGAGTTGCGTGCATCAAGCCTGTGGAAACTCTCCCTGCAAAGGATTCCTCGAAAACAGATGTATGTGCTCGACCTTCTCCCTGCTTGTACCCCACTCCATCCAATGAATGGGCGCTGATTTATAATCTCTCAGAACCCCTATGAAGTGACCACAGAAGACAAAGTGCAGCCTGAAAATCTTCCACCGGCACAAATCTCTCTGACTGACTGCCTCGCATGCTCTGGGTGCGTCACTTCAGCTGAGGCCGTGCTCATCTCGTTGCAATCGCATGCGGAAGTCCTCAACACTTTGGATGCGCATCCCGAGTTGCTGATCAACCGTGAAAATGGGACATTAGCACAGGGTCTGGGCACGGACAATGACGAAGGCCGAGTTTTCGTCGCAAGTGTTAGCCCTCAGGTGAGGGCAAGCCTAGCAGCAACCTATGGAATCACGGAGAAGGAAGCATCATACATGATCCAGCAGTTCCTCAGCGGTCCCCATGGTTTGCGTGCCGGAGGCAAGAATGGCAGCGGCTTCACATGGGTTGTCGACACCAATGTTCTGCGTGAGGCTGTCTTGGTTCTTACGGCGGACGAAGTTGGCGAGACTTTGACGACCAACCCCGATTCCCCTAGCACAACCAGCGCAACCAATACTCTTCCCAAACGGCCGATCCTCTCGTCCGCATGTCCAGGCTGGATATGTTATGCGGAAAAGACACATCCATTTGTTCTCCCACATCTGTCACGACTCAAATCACCGCAAGCGTTGGCTGGCACCTTTTTCAAAACCGTCCTCAGTAAATCACTTGGCATCCCGGCCTCTCGTATATGGCATTTGGCCGTCATGCCTTGCTTTGACAAGAAGCTTGAAGCCAGTCGTGAGGAGCTTACCGATGCTTCGTGGCTGTCTGCGAAGGACGAAGACCACACACCCGTCCGTGATGTTGATTGCGTGATCACCACTCGCGAACTTCTAAGCCTAGCGTCTTCCAGGGGCCTTGCGCTTCCCAACCTACCGTTCAAATCCCTTCCTCAGTCTCATATACCGCCATTCCCCGATACCACTCTGAACGAATTTCTGTTCTCAAAGTCTTCCCCAGGACAATCAACTGCCGCAGGTACATCCGGAGGCTACCTCCACCACGTGCTTCAGACTTTCCAAGCACGTAATCCAGGCAGCGAGATTGTCACTCAACGAGGAAGAAACGCCGATGTAGTCGAGTACACCCTCATGTCGTCGGAGCACACGCCTATCCTGAAAGCCGCTCGCTATTACGGTTTCCGCAATATTCAAAATCTTGTTCGCAAGCTGAAACCAGCCCGGGCTTCTCGTCTTCCGGGCGGTAGTCGACGAATGCCAGTCGGACGGGGCGCTGCTTCTGGTGGTTCTGGCACAGATTACGCTTATGTAGAAGTCATGGCATGCCCTGGAGGCTGTACTAATGGAGGAGGTCAGATACGCATTGAAGATGCCCGCGAAGCTAGCTCCAGCGTGCAGTCCTCGACCTCGGGCGAAGTGCCCGACTCCTCGTCAAAGCCGACACCACATGAGCAACGCGCTTGGCTTGCCCGTGTAGACGAGGCATATTACTCTGCGGAGTCTGACTCCGAGTCGGAAGCCGGAAGCCAGTCGCAGCCCCTAACCATTCTTGAAAAAGAAGACAAAGTCCATAATGCCATGCGTTATTGGTCCGACTCCATGGGCATCCCGCTCTCGAAGCTTGCCTACACCACATATCGCGAGGTTGAGAGTGATGTTGGCAAGTCCCAGCCTGCCGCGAACGATACTACTCGCGTTGCTGAGCTTGCTGGAAAGATAGGCGGCGGTTGGTAAATCTGTTTCTTTTCTTTCACTTATTTATGACATATACCCTGTGATGTTTGGATGACATGAGCTATGCGTGCATTTTCTTCATCGGGACAACAGTCTTTGCATTTGGACAGCACATTATATAGAGAGATACCATGTTTGCTGGTGGAATCGGTGGCAACACGATAAGTCGTGGGGGATGTATATTGTGTCTTATACTAGATACAATCCAAAAGGCAAGCAACTAGTTAAAGCCCAGTACAAATCGTACTTCATAAAACATATCAACGCAATCATATATTCCTGAACAGAACCAAAATCGACCTAGCACATTAAGATGACCTACTTAGTACTATATCCCGACAAACACTACAATCTGCACAACCCACCCGCTTACTAAGCACACCACCACAACCACCTTATCCACAAACATAACTCCAATCACAACCAGCCCAGCCTAACCCAATCAAGCAACGAACCTCCAACGCAAAAAAGTTCCAGAACAAACCAAACCACCCAAACCTTCCATCACCATCACCATCTACACCACAGCCTCCACTACCTCCCCAACCGCACACCGACCAAACACCCACCTCGCAAACCTCCTCAAACTACCGCAATAAACCAATACAACCCACCATGTCCCGCGAACAATACCAAGTCCCCAACCTGGGCGGCGGCGCCCAGAACGCCTTCGGTGATGCCGCCGGTGGTGGCCCCATGGACGGCCCTGTCGTTGCGTACCTGTGCGGCGAGTGCAACTCGCGCGTTTCGCTGAAGAGGGGAGATCAGATTCGGTGCAAGGAGTGCGGTCATCGGGTTTTGTATAAGGAGAGGACGAAGAGGTTAGTTTTCCCTTCTCCTTTCTTTTTTTTCTTTTTTCTTCCCTGGGGTTGGGGATGGGGGGAGGATAGATTGTGAAATGAATCATTGGATGAATGTGTGTGGGTTTGTGCTAACTGGTTTACTTTGCGATATGCAGAATGGTTCAGTTCGAGGCGCGGTGAATTCGGTTTCGACAGAATTACGTGGTTTGAGTTGGGCTGGACTGGACTAGACTGATATGGTCTGGTTGGGCTTGTTTGACTTCGTTTTTATGTATGATGGGGTGGGTGCATTTGGTGGCGCTTGGAGTTTGCTTTTGTTATGTATTTCTTTGTGAAAGTTATTTTGCCTTGGTGAGGGTTGGATGTTGGTTGTGAGTGGGAGGTGGGGGGTAGATGGTGGGACGAGTGGGATTATTGTCGAGTGAAGATAAGTCATGATGGGGATTTTGTGCGCAAATACCCCTCGTCTTGAATTCAGGCAGTTAATTCAATGATGTGCATCGATCATTACTTGGGCTTTGAGTGCCTTGAACAGTATTCGTTTCGATGGTTACGGTATCATAAACTATTCACTACTATCCAGGAAATTATAGCCATACTGTTGTTTCGAAGAACAAGTTGGCTTATACTTTTTAGCCACAGAAAAACCCGAGAGTCAGAAGAGAATGAGTGGTTAGAGAAATGGAAGCCGTTGATATGATTAAAGCCGGTTCGTGACTTCAATGAAGTGCTCGAAGGACTTGAGAGCAGCGCCGCTCTCAACGGCCCAGCGAGCTCGGCGGACACCCTCCTTCCAGCGCCCGCCACCAGGGCCGCGCTCAGTGATGACCTGACCGTCATCGCCAGGTCCCATGTTGCTGGTGTCCGCATCACAGATACCCGACACCGTTAGGAGGGCAGCCACGTTCATGAGGACGAAGCTCAGGATGGGATCATCCCGAGGCAACTCATTCCGCAGAATGCTCATCAGCTTGGCTGCGTTGTCCTTGGGCATCTTCCTGCCGCCAACGTCAGACAGCGGGTGAGTCGGCAGGCCAAAATCGGACGGGTGCAATTGGAACATTTCCATCTTGACCAATGTGCGGGGGTGTTCCTCCTCATCGCATGAGCACTCATCCTCCTGGGACCCTTGGTACGCGGGGTTAGGATATTCCGTTAGTTGCCAGCAGTTTGTCTTTCCTGCGCAGCTGATCTCGTCCAGATCCTCCTCACCGCAAACAACAAGCGCCTTCTTGCATCCGTTCTGTCGCAATGCCTCCACAAACACCGGTCCCAAGCTCTGGTAGGCCACACCAACAACACGCGCCTCGATAGCCCAGTCGACTGGATTGGCAAGGGGTCCCATCAAGTTGAAGATTGTCCGAAGTCCAAGCCCACGCCGGACAGGGTCGGCGTACATCATGCCAAAGTGGAAGTTGGGAGCAAACAGGAAGGAGTAGTTGGTCTCCGCATAGACCTGGGGAAGGTTATCGGCGTTAACTGCGCCGATCTTCGGGGGCACAGGAGTAATGGCGTTCAGGACGTCGGCGGATCCGGAGAAAGAGGTCTGGGCCCGGTTGCCATGTTTGGCGGTCATGAGGAGAGGGGAGGCAATGATCGAAGAGGTTGTGGAAATGTTGAAGGTAGAATGCATGTCCCCACCGGTACCAACGATATCGCACTACAAGCAACGTAGACGTGAGCCGTATGATCCAATTGAGGTACAATATAACCAGCATCACTCACCAGACCACCCCTGTAGTTGCCCTCCTTCTTCCCGCGCGACTTGATAGCAGCCTTCAGAGTAGGCCGGTCGACCTGGCGAGCGGCCTCGCGCATGCGATGCGAACACTTGGCAATGACTTCAGCATCCCGATCCAATCCCGTAGAATGCAAAAGCGTGAGCAGCGCTGCGGTCTGAATATGCGAAATTCCGTCTTCAAAAATCAGGGCGAAAGCTGAGGCAATTTCCGAAGCTTCGACCCGGCGTTCCGTAGCGGGGTAGGCGAGTCTCTTGAGGAGGGGTGAAATGGAGACATGTTGCGGTTTCTGGTCGTGAATTGAGGCGGACATTTTGCCTTTGGCTTGAATGTTAGCAAGTAAAACCAAACGGTGCGCACGCTCCTATATAAGCAATGAGTCACAAATCACTCACCGAGCTTTCAAGCTTAGCTGCATGAAAAGGAAGGAAGGTTCGGAGTTTGGTCGGATGCCCGCTGACCGCAGAACAAAGAGTCATCTTTGCGTCTGGCAGAATCCCACCGCCTGTCAGCCCGGCTAATCCACTTTAGGAAGTCAAGATTTCGTGCCATATTTTCGTCCAGCCGGACATCCTCCAGCACGCTGCTCTTGTCGCCGGCATCGCCAATTTCACGGTTTTGGAGGTTTTCGTCCGGCCCCTACTTCCTCGCGGCATTATTCCACACCCGATAGACCTTTCACCCCCGGAACTCCTTCTCCCACCTCCACAATGCCGCCTCGCGTCCGCATCTCCAGCGGCCGCATCACTCAGTCGGTCCGCAGACAAAGGGTCGTTTACCAGCATGAACTCCCGATTGCTGCCAGATATGCCAGCACAGCAGCCACGGCAACAACCCCGGCCGCATCAATCGAGCAAATGACACACTCTCCTGCCCCTATCGCCCACTACCCTCCCACGCAGCCTCCCTCGCACCGCAACCCCGAATACCGCCGGTCCCAGCTCCTCCGGCAATACACCTCCATCATCCGCACCACGCCTCTCATGGTCTTCCTGCAGCACGACAACCTCCAATCGGTCGAGTGGGCCGCTATCCGTCGAGAGCTGAGCGCAGCCATGCAGAAGGTGGACGAGAAGATTGCCTCGGAGGGCCGTAAGGCCCCAGCACTGGCTCCGCACATCAAGGTCCAGATTGTCCAGACGCGCATTTTCGAAGTCGCCCTCCGCATCGTCGAATACTTCCGTCCTAAGCAGACCACCCCTGTCCCCAGAGCCGTTGACCCTGCCACGCAAACATCGGCCGAAATCCCTCTTGCCGCTTCCCGGGATGACCCTACCCTTTCCCATGACCTTTCCCGCGCCGCTCATGATGCCGTCCTGTCTATGAAGGGCAAACATGAGCTCTCGGAGCTGCTGGTTGGTCCTGTGGCCGTCCTCACCATCCCCCACGTCTCCCCCGAACACTTGAAGGCCGCGTTGCAGGTCCTGGCCCCCAAGTCGATCGGTCTTCCTCTGCCTACCCGGAAGGCTAACCCGGGCTGGCATGAGTTCCCTGTTCAGAACGGTCTGAACAAGTTGTCTTTGATTGCTGCTCGTATGGATGGACAGGTCTTCGATGTTGAGCAGTCCAAGTGGGTCACCAGTATCGAGGGCGGTATGGATGGCCTGCGGTCACAGCTCGTTATGGCTCTGCAGAGCATGGGATCCGGCATCACGAATGCTTTGGAGGGTGCTGGAAAGAGCCTTTACTTTACGCTTGAGAGCAGAAAGCAGGATATGGAGCCGAAGGAGGAGAAGGCTCCCGAGGATGAGAACAAGGGTGATTCTGCTTGAACTGCCTAAGGCTGTTGAATTCTTCTGCCTGGCTTGCCATGTATAATAAAATGTCGCGTGTATTTTTCTTTTCCCCCTTTTTTCTTTCCTTTGTGGTTCCATTTTTACCCTTCAAGACCATGATTGTTTTAGCACATGAAGTTTCATTAGAACCGGAGTCATAGTTCTAGGTTACAAATACATACATACTCCTTTTGGCTGTGGCGTCCGCTTGTACACTGTGTATCGTGACCTACGTTGAAAATCCGGGTATTATTTTATTGATACCTAGTTCACGTATCCCTCATGTTGGGTCGATCACTGACACAGGGTGCGGTTCTTTTGACAATCCTCTTGAAGAGACTCGGAGCGGGATTGAAGCGCAACCGGCAGTCCTTCCTTTCGTTCCCAACCAATTCTCCTTAATTGTTGCCATTGCTCTGCTCGCTCTGCTCTGCATGCATCAACTGCCTGTGTAGCAGCCGAGAATTCATACCCACAATGCATCGTACAAGATCCCAGTCGCCATCCAAGCCTACCCAGTCCGTGACAAGGACACCAGTAGACCAATCACCATCACCCTCTCCATGCTTCCTGCACAGATACTCAACAGTGGCAGGGTTCAGCTTAGCAGCAATCTTCTCAGGCCACGTTCCGACCTTCCAGAAATTGCTGGCGCTCAGGAAATTGATGTAGAACGGATGGGCTCGCGTAGCCAAGGACCCTGGAAGCACCCCAAACGGGTACTGAGTCTTGCTTGCGCGTCCACACTGCTCGGTCACGTATTCGATCTTCTTATCGATGTTCGTGGTCTCCAGGACCTCGTAGAAATCCTGGATGCAAAGCTGTCCACTGGGGCAGGTGGCACTGGCGCAGTTATCGGCCCAGCCACTGGCGTTGATACCCCATCCTTTGCCATCATGGATGTCTTTCAGGTGTTCGAGGATTTCGAACCGACGGACAAGAACAACCTTTCCACGTACTTCGCCTAGGGTGGGGATCTTTGGTTCCGTGTACCATCTGCTCCCTGGACGGGCGTAGTGGTCGTTGACGATTCTACTTAGCTGTTCGTCGGTGTGGTTTCCCGGGCCTTCACGTTTGAGAGAGATTATGAGCGTTTCGGAGGGGTTTTGCTCCAGGAAGTCGTTCACTTCGTGCATCAAGTCCCGGAAGTATTTGTTGCCGGTTAGTGAGATGGGGAAGACGCTGTGTACGAGGATAAGCTCCTCTTTAGATGTATCTTCTGGATATTGAGGCTGCACACGGATATCAAAGAATCGCACCCCGTTCCTGAGCTGTTCCCTGGGGCTGACCGCTTGGCAACGAACAGATGGTGCTGCAACATGGCAGGTTGGGGAGTTGTGCGTGCCTGGAATTGAAAGAGAGGAAAGCAAGGTGTCATCCTTCAGTTCGCCCATCCAGGCATTCAGATTGGCGGAGGAAAAGATGGTGAGATGGGAAGCGGCGGTGATGTAGATCCCCGTGAGCTTGAACTTGGGGTCGTCACACAGTGCCTTCATGGTGGCGGTCTCAGTAGTGGGCACTGGGGTCTGAATTTGATGCCGTTCTCCTTCCACCTCAAAGACCCAGCGCAAACGTTCCTTCTCGGACTCGATGAACGAGCGAAGCTCT